CAACCCCCACCTCGCAAGAGCAGCCGCGGCGCCACTGTGAGTGCCGCGGGCAGGGTCCGGGCGGGCGCGTGCCTGGCGCCGCGACGTGGCAAGTTCCCGCGCAGGGGCCAGGGAGCGCGACCCGCGACCCCCGCAGGACGGGGACTGCGGGGTCGGGCACACAAAGGGCCGGGGGGCGGCCTGGCTTCGCGCTCCACCGCCCGAACGTTTCCGGGCCTCTCCAGGCGCAGGGGTGGGGATCTGAAGGACAGTGGCAACTCGTGGCCCGGGCGATTGCCGGCCTTGAGCTGGCAGGGGCTCGGGGCTGCTGCGCGCCCCCAGGTATTTCGGGAGGGGGTTCTGGGGGTGTCCTGCCTACCCTGCGCCCCTGCAGGGAGACAAGCAACCGAGGGGGGCTGGAGCAGCCCGCTCGCTCCCTAGCGACAGGCAGGGTCGCGGCAAGGCCCCTGCTCAGACAAAGGCGGGGAGGGGGAGGCATCCACTTCCCTTCCTTTCAGCCAGGCGCGCTCTAGTTCCTGCTAGCTATCAGGCCGACGTCAGCTATTTTTGGAGCCTTTTACGCGACAGCTGGAGGAGCGTCCTTTTAATTTTTCTTTTTTGTTTGCCTCCTCCTCCCCCCCCCGCACCCCACCGTCTTCGTCGCTGCACTTGAGGCTCCATCCTGGGCGTCTCCTTGGCGTGACCTGCCTTTTCTTGCCAGCTGGCCCATGCCCTGCTCGTTGGCCCTGCCTGGGTTACCCGGGGAGACCTGGCAGCCCGCGCAAAAGGTCACTTTCCCGAATCGTTTCCACAGCTTCTGGGGTATCCTTAGCTCCCTAGCTCCCTGCTTAGAAGAGAAAACAGTAGTCGGGTCATAATAAGCAGGATTTAGCCTGAGCCTCCGTTACCAACACAAGCTACCCTGACTGATGTGGACATCGGCTTGCCCCTCACCCTGTCTACCTAAAGCCAGCTACAAAAGATGAGGATCAATATAGGTCCCTTGGCTCTGTCTGATGCCTGTTGCCATGGAAACCCCTATCCTGACCTGGCCAGGAGCCCCTTGGAATGAGCCAGGAGAGTGAGGAAGGGGGGCGGGCAGCGGAGGAGGCTGCCCACTGATCTGGCCTGACCAGAGTGACTAATCTTTAACTGAGGTGTGGGAGCAGCTGACCAGAGTTGGGATGGGGGGGGGGGGGGGGG